AAGAGGACCAGGGCCTCTATAAATAGGACTAGCCACCACCATAGGCAAGAGGGGCCAGAAAATCACTCTCACCCACACAAGTTGGCCAAGCACAAGAACACCTCAACCTCAAGAGGTTGTTCTTCCCCTTGTATTGTTCATCATCAGCCCAAGAGGCAATCCACCACCACCACCACACTGGAGTAGGGTATTACACCACAACGGTGGCCCGAACCAGTATAAATCTTGTGTCTTCCTGTGTTGCGAGTTCGTCAAGTTCGTCTGCGAGATCTTAGCGAGCTAGGGAATAGATCGGTGGGAGGAAAAGACTTCGCGCGCACCCCAGTGTTCGAACCTTAAGGGTTTGCCGGAACCCCACATCCGACAATCTCCACCATGAGACACATCATCACTGAGAGTGCCTACATCATCTGAGTTGATCATAAGAGGTAATGACAAAGGTACAAATTTTTCACTTTCACATGAGAATGATGCATGCCTAGTTAACTTGAATACATCATGTGTTGAGTTACCTATTGATTTGAGCACACCACCTATTTTAGAGAATTGTGTTACTATCATGAATGCATCATGTAATCAAACAGTTGAAATACCAACAATTTTGAGTGCACCCATTGAATTAACTTTTGACGCAAAAGAACCACTGTTTAATCATTTTGATATGACCTCTATTCTTGGTGATGGTTCTGTGTCAAATGACTTATTGCATATTTGCTCATTTAAGCATGTTGTAGCATGTAAATTTGATGCAAGTAAGGTTTATTCAACAATGTTGGGATGGTTTAATGATGAACATTGTCAACCTTTTGATATGAATAAGAGCTTCACTTATATGTGCAAACTGAGTTGCAATATTTTCATGCCTTCTACTTCTTGTGATAATATTTCGCCTTTATATTTTATGAACTATGAAGTTACTCATGTATACATGTGTCATATGTGTGAAAACTAAGGGAAGTAAAAATGGATGACATATACATATATAACATGTACACCTTGTCTCTTTTGTTAGCCACACTTTAGATTAAGCAACGCCGATGACGGCTTTGTTTTCAAGAAGGGGAGGATAATGAGGACATGATTACCTTGGATACGACCAAATATTGCATACATGCATATTTGTGAGGTGATTTCTAATGCAAACTATGCAATAATTTATTTATGTTATCCATGAAAAAATAATTCACAGACTTTTGTGCCACGTCTAATTCCAGGTGTATAGAACATTTGTACAATCCACATATGAAGATAAGGGAAAAAGAGAAGTTTATGTGATGTTCAAAAAGTCCTCTCACGTCACTTTTTGGCCAAGAGAAGATAGAGTCTAAGTCTCTCACGTTCTGGACACAGATTCGGACTACACAGATATACCTAACTCAAAACACCAAGATCCCTTTCATCCGGACACCGGATTGGGTGATTCTTTTTTCGGAAAATAGATTTCGTGCTCTTTCCAACCCAATTGGATTCACCTTCAAATTCGTCCGAGGCTTTGAGATATTGATGAAACAATCTGACTCTATATTAGAATCCGAGTCAAACTACAAGTCCAAAGGTGCTGCATCACCTCCACTTGGGCCCATGGGCCTTATAAGATCTAGAGTTAGTTTTAGGCTGCCTTGGGACATTCGCCTACCTCCTTGGGCACCATCCCTTGCTCCTATATAAGTAGATCAATCTAGTAGCCTTTTCCTTGGAATTTGTTCAATTAAAAGTTAGTCATTTTAACTTCGTGTACTTCATTTGTGTCCAACGACCAGACCAAGACTACTTTCGGAGCCCCACTTTTATCAATACTTCATATATATATATATATATATATATATATATTCACAATATTTAGATTGCATTATCATATTTTTGTTTGTTCTTCGATTGCATGTAAGAATAGACCTTTGTGGTCAGGTTGATCATGCTTCCGGCATCTTAACTATCGATTTAAGATACCACTTGATAGAGGCGAGGGGCCCGATCTTTCGATGAGATGACAACTACAGATTTGGTGGAGTCAACTTTGACGATCCGACTACAAACGTGCACGAAGTTGCGCTTTAGAAATTGCTAAACCAACTCTGAGAAGTTAATGATCATGCCAAAGCACGATCAACCTGACCATAAAGGTCTATTCTTGCAAGTAGTCGAAGAACAAGTAAAAATATGGTAAAGCAATCTAAATATTGTGAATATATATGACGTATTGATAATGGTGATGATTTTGTGGCAAATAAATTATTACATAGTTTGCATTAGAAATCACCTCACAAATATGCATGTATGCAATTTTTTTGGTCGTATCCAAGGTAGTCATGTCTTTATCATCCTCTTATTCTTGAAAACAAAATTGTCTCGGTGTTTCTTAATCTAAAATGTGGCTACCAAAACAGACAAGGTGTACGTATATGTATATGTCATTCATTTTTACTTCCCTTGGTTTTTGCACATATGACACATGTATACATGAGTAACTTTCATAGTTCATAAAATATAAAGGCAAAATATTATCACAAGAAGTAGAAGGCATGAAAATATTGTAACTCAGTTTGCACATATAAGTGAAAGTAGAGGTGCTTTGTGACGGGTTCGATCTTGTGATGTCCTCTCCAAGTGACAGAAGGGGCAGCGAGGCACGCATGTATCGTTGCTATTAAGGATAAAAAGATGGAGGCTATTCCTACATGAATAAATCTTGTCTGCATCATGTCATCGTTCTTATTGCATTATTTTGTTTCTCCATGAACTTAATACACTAGATGCATGCTGGATAGCGGTCGATGTGTGGAGTAATAGTAGTAGATGTAGAATCGTTTCGGTCTACTAATTTTGGACGTAATGTGTATATATTGATCATTGCCTTGGACATCGTCATAATTATTTTTTCTTCTATCAATTGCCCAACAACATTTTGTTTACCCACCGTGTGCTATTTCTCGAGAGAAGCCACTAGTGAAACATATGGCCCCGGGTCTATCTTTTATCATATTTGTTTTCCGATTTATTTTTTGTCGCATTTGTTTTCAGATCTATTATTCCAAAACCCAAAAATACCTTACTGCATTTTTTCTTTATTTATGTTATTTCGCGTTTTATTCAGATCTATTTACCCTAACTCATACAAATTTATCTATCTTTTTACCAACGAGGGATTAACAACCCCTTTACACGTCAGGTTGCAAGTATTTGTTTTTTGTGTGCAGGTACCGTTTACATAGTGTTACTTGGTTCTCCTACTGGATTGGTACCTTGGTTTCATAACTGAGGGAAATACTTACCGTAACTATGCTGCATCATCCCTTCCTCTTTGAGAAAATACCGACACAGTCTCTAGCCATGTTAGGACACCTTTGCCTCTATCACATAGGATACTACATGTAGCTATATATCTTAACAAATATCATTATTCCCGTTGGAGTGTGTGCTCGATCGACCCATCGTTCGAACTTATGTTCAACCGATGACAAGAGTGGCTGCATGCATGGGTTGTTGCCGAGTGGCACGGTTGTCCGTACATGCCACACGCGTGATTCGCAGTTCGTCTGTGTTTGCGCACTTGTGTGTGTTTGTGTCCTCCGTGTGTGCAACTAAGAGAGGGAGAGAGAGGGGTGGGGGATAATGAGGGGAATTGATGAGGACATCAATACCATTGTTACACCCACACCCCAGCTGCTATACATATTGGATCAATCACTAGAGCTCGTATACGACAATTGAATTACCATGTATTTTCGTTTCTTGGTAACAATTATAATGTTCATGAGAATATGATGCTGCCTAAATTGGATATATCCGTGTTGATTACTAATAAAGGGCCTAGCATGGAAAAGAGGGATGAACACTGGAGCAGAAATAAGCATGGAGATGAAGGCACGCGTGAAGGGAACTAGAACGATGTTTCTAGTGCAGATTTCAGCACTTTTAAAGCCTCCTTGATGACATACAAGGACATGAACGAAATATACAAGATGTCCTTTTCATAAATTCCTTCCATAGCTTATAATAGGTGTCACGCCACCTTATTTTTGGGCCAGACCCATATAATTTCGAAATACTTGAGTATAGGCTGTTTTTAGAAGCCATATGTGTGGGGAAACAAGAGTTAGGGTGGTTTTGGACCCCTCCTCCAAGGGGTCCTGAAATTCCCCTATCTCCCTCCATATATACAGCCCTTAGAGCGTAGACTTTGAGTTTTGTTTAGATTAAAAGTTTGCCATAGCCGCAACTTCGTATTCAACGACCAGATCAAAGACGTCATATAACCCCACTTTCATCAATAAAGTTTTCCTCTTAAATTCGCAACATCCAGATTACAATCTCAGTTTCTTACTTGTTTTTCGTTTGCTCGTAGGGAATAAACCCTCGTGGTCAGGTTGATCGTGCTCCGGCATGGTCAATAGCCCCTCGAAAGTTGGTTTAGCGGTTGCTAAGGCGCGGCGTCTCCGCACGTTCGTAGTCAGATCGTCAACGTCGACTCCCACAAAAAATAATAGCTATCTCATCAAAATATCGACACACCTTCGCCTCTATTGATGTCACTTCTCTAAGAGTTCGGTCCGAGCGAACGGTTGATATGGATGAGTGGAAAGTTTCACTGTTTGCATGTGATCCAAAGGCCAATAGGGTGTTTGCTGGCAAACATTAAGATCGGATGTTCTCAGATAACATTTCTTACAAGGAAGCTAAAATAAAGCCATGACACGTGCTTTCCGTGCAGCCCGATTCGGAATACATGCAGAAGATCCTGATATTTTCTCTCTCCTCGTGTCATCTCATCACTCTCCCTCTTTCTGAAAACCCTAGCGCCGCAGCCCGAGAGAGCCATCCTTAGGTTTCCGCGCAAGGTAAAAGCATCCAACCATCTCGTCTCCTACTTTCCATGGCGCTGAGGGAGCGTACGATTCGCGCTTCACGGCGGCACAGATTGTTGAGGATCTCGATTGACTTTTTCGGTGTGATTTGGTGGCTTGTGTAGGCGTCGGGGAATTTTCGGCTCGATTGGATTGGAGATGACGGAGAAGGAGGTGGGACGGATCTTCGTGGGCGGACTGTCCTGGGACACCACGGAGCGCACGCTGGAGCGAGCTTTCGGCGAGTTCGGCAAGGTCATCGAGACGCAGGTATTAGCCATATTCCTCCATTCGTTTGCATGTATTGTGCGTGCTCGTCGGAGGATTTGTGTTGAGATCATTTTGGCGGCGCTTAGTCGTTTAGTTTTGTATATAGGGTGACGATTTTTTCAGTTTCATCCTTAAGCTGGGTTTTCCTACTTCTCTACAGAGTTTCTTCATCTTAACTCATCTGTGCTGTAAATCCGCTGATTAGTTGTAAACATAATCTTGATTAAAGAGCCATATTGTAGCAACCAAAACACTGCCTATCAATAAGACGAAATGATTAAAACATTT